TGATGTTGTGGATGAAGTAAGATTGCTAATGTACATGTAAATTGTACATGTGTACTGCATACATGTACATGTACATGCATAATGCATGTTTTGTAAAGTTCAAATAAAAGCCTAGGCAAAAAAATGGGATTGGAACTTGAAACCTTGGGTTTAGAAATTAACAAGTTAGGCCATTTAGGACATTTTAAAATGGAGGGTACCTAAATTTATGTGACAAAAAATTTTTGTAAACCCTGCAATTCTGAGATTTCATTAATGAATTTTTGTGAATAGCTTGCAAACTGTAACGTGGCTACGGGGCAATGGAGATGCAGAATTTTGTGACTTTAATTTTTGCAACAGAGCAAATTAAGATTGTGAAATTCAAAAAAATTTTTGTTGCATAAATTTCATGGTATATGTATATGGTATATTGAGTAAAGTGTACTTGGAAGATATATTTTATATACAGTATAGTACTGGGCATTTATTTGAGCCAGGCTTTTATTTGAACATGGTACATTTGTTGAATGTATGCACTTGTCACTGATATTGTGCAATGCATATATACATGTACTGGTAAAAAAGTTTTTAAATTACACAAATTAGAGGCTGTAATCATTGTATGCATCTATAGGAAGTATTTTTGTATGATACAAAAAATGTTATTCTATAATGAAATCTAAATATATTAAATTGTTTAATTTTGTTTTAATTATCATTTTCTAGGCACAGCATAGTTTTGGACTTCATGTTCAGGATTGGCATTAGATGCTTTTGTTATTTTATTTGTCTAGTATGGTAATACTCCTATGTTATTAGCTGTTGAAAGTGACAGATCATCTCAAATTATCAAATTATTGATTATTAAAGGTCAAGCTGATGTTACTGCTGTATGTGAAAAAGTAAGTAATTTAAAGGTTAGGAACAAATAATATTTATTAATTTACCTATTGACAGCATAAATTTAGTACTGATATACGTTAGCAATTAGTTTTAATTATGTTACGATTATGTACTTCAATTCTCATTTTTATATTATATTTATGTACATTGTAGTATTGTATTAATCCTGAGCTATCTAGATCTGATATTGCTGAATTATTAATCACTAGTAAGATCCCGAAAGTAAGAAAAAAAATTTTAAGTAATAATCAAAATATGTGATATACAAATAAAATATTTTGTTTTTGTATAGTCTGTTTGAAACAAATTTCTAGTTTTAATTTTTTTGTCTCATTTTTTATACCAGTATACCTTAAAGCCACTTATTTCAAGTAGACAAATATTTGCAATTTGTTAATGGTATTGATTTAGCATGTACTAGCTTTGCAATTTAGCTCTTTTTTAATGAATAACTATTAATAAACCTAAATTATTAATCAATGCAAGTACTAATTTTTGTGATTTTAAAGCCACTCACAAAAAAATGCAACAAACCATGAGCTATGTGTAATCTATAATACATGTACTTATGTACTCTTGCTTATACTAATTGCATGTACATGT